AAAATATTATAAATAATAGTAATAAAGTATATAGGTAATATAAATAAATCAAAAGTAAAAAACGAAAATAAATGAATTGCAAAAAAAGGGCTTCAAGAATATGATATCAGAATTACAGGGCCGTATTAAAAAATTAAGTTGGAGATTGTTCCGCAAATACGAATGGTCGGAAAAAAAAATATTGAAAGTCGCTGTGAAGGAATATAGGAATATAGTTGGTAAAATCGAAAAATACGTTTTTCAAAATATTTCAAAAACCAAAAAATCTTCTTAGACCTTTGATTCCGCAACTTTTCCCCGCATTTAAGCAAATTTGTAGACTGCCCTCCACATTTGGGTAGGTGCCTACATTTTTTGCAATTTATTCACAAATATCCGTGTTCGTAAAATTTCATTGGAAATGGAGGCATCCGCGTACACATTTCGCATTTTTCAACTTTTGGACCCTAATTAGAAAATCTGGTTAATGGTATACTTTCCATGGTTCTAATGCATTGCACAATTAGTTTAGTACTGAAAATTGCAAACTCGCCAAATATGTCCAGGTATATCATACGACATTCTTCTCTCTGTAGCATAGCGCTAAAAACAACATAAGTAATTAAAAAAGCACATTTTTACACGGACTTACATAATTGCTATTAGTCTTTTTTTTGTTACCATTAAAGAAGTACAGGAAAAGACGAGTTTGAATCGCAAATGAGAATTCCAATCACATTAAAGATCACCTAATTTAGGCAGGTACTGTAATCGTTTCACTAATAAAATGCTCTCACTTCCGCATAGACCAACCTTGAATCTCATATTTTATTATGATTATTGCGTAACTTGAAGCAATTAAAGTTTGTGAAAACCCTCTTACGTAATTAAAAGCGGGACGGGCTAGGAGTTTGCGAAGTTTGTACACTAACAAGATTAAAATATTGCGGATACAATGCGTAAATGTTAATCTATTCCTCGTGTTATACAAGGCATCCCAAAATATGTGCCAACCTTCCGCGTTTTTTATTCGTAGATCCCGGATATTTGAGTCTGCAACACGCACCTCTTTTTTACATTTAAATAATATTTAAACAGGTACTATGAAAGTGTCACAAGAAATTATTAATGGTGTGTCATCAAATTGTACATTAATTAAACTTTTTTTATTAGTACATGCTCTACTCGAGATAAAAGGCGTAAAAGTCTGTGAATTATCTCCCTCGAGAACCCCCTTATCTTCATCTAATACCTGCTGCTGTGATTTTGAGGCGAGATAAAAGTGTCATGAATTAGCTCTTTTTGTAAGTTATGAAAGGTTATCCGGAGTTTTTGCTCAATTTTAATTTTTTGCGGTTGACCGAGGATTTTGCTTTTAATTACAAATTCGAGGAATTTAGTAGCTATAAAGCTAAAAAACGAAGTTTTAAAAAGTTGTTTATAAATCTGTAGGTACGTGAGAAAATTAACGTTCTAAAATTGTTAGGTAACTGAGTGCATTTGTACCTTAAGGTAAATTTCCATGGAGAAAGTCTACATCCAAAAATTGATCTCAACGTTCAAATGAACTAAGAGCGCTTCTTTTACCGATTTAATCGGATGCTGTTTCCTGCACATTTATTTAACTAATATTAATTGCACTTACTTAATTGGCCGGATTGAAATTTCTAAATTCACCTATTGTCTGCATGGGCCCTCAGCTTTATTGCTCATTTTAAATTAACATAGGAAACTAAAACAATCTAATAATTACCTAACGGGACTGAAATTCTAAAATATTAATTTGCCTTCGTCTTCTAAACGGCAAGAGCTTTCGGACGCAACAAAGATAATTGAAATATATTGACGGGAACGGTTGCAATCGGCGGTTTAATTACAGCTTTGTTTACGGTAGCGGTAGCTCAAACACAACTCTAGAAAGCCTACTCCTAATCACTTCCGGCACGATACTTTTCGTAACGAAGCGCCTCTAGATATAGGGTGTTGATCTACAGAGTGGTTACTAAAACTGATAACTTCAAGGCTTATATCTGCACCCCTCCCTCTTTTTCGCGTTTCCAACTTTCATGTCTTTTTCAAAGCTTTATCTACCTCTAATTTATTTACACCTCCATGTTCCTGTTAAAAATTTTTTTGTGCAACCTTCACACCACACCATCTTCCCTCTTTAACAGCGCATTCGTGTTTTTCTCCTTCTCCTTCCTACTAAGACGTAGAGAGATCAAAAGGCCATAACAGATCTTGTTGTATTCAAATATGTTTGAACTCCATGTTTCAACTCTAAATTTGGTTTTAAAATCAGACTTAGCTCTGGATTTAGATACTTAAGTTTCGGTCTGAATTAAGATGCTCATTAGGCTTTCTAAATTCAATCTTTAAAAGCCGAATCCATAGTTTGAAGTTTTTACAATGTATTTCTAAAAATCCTCATGAGCACCTTAGCTCCTTACCCGAGCTTCTCCCTCTTTAGCGTTTTAATTTCCAGAAATTTCTTAGTTCCTCTAGCGCTGGAAAATGCATAGACGTATATCAAAAGCTCAAATTAGTGTGAGGAATTCGTGGAAGTGCCATAAAAATGTGAAAATTGTTATACTGCTCTGAAAAGGTTTCTAAACGCTTTCCAGAGCATTGCTACCTCTGAGCTTTCTACATCCATTGCAGTGATCTCTTCTAACAGGTGGTCGCTTAGCCATTTCCAAGAGTTTTATTTTCAATTTTAAATTTTGTTCAACATAGGAAGATTTACACATATACCGCTTCAAAGCGAATGTGAACGGATGCATGTCTGGCGATAACAAGCGATAAGAAAGTGAGAGTTTTCGAGATAAAAAGCTAGTGAGACCGAGTTGTGAGGGGGGTTTCAGCGGACGAGTAGACACGTGTCATTCCGTTAAGAGCGACAACCTATAAATATCGGTGTGTGATTCGCATAAGTTCGTTGGGAGAAATATCCTCGCGTATGTGTGAAGATTTGCGGTCGACATTTAAGAACCAAAACGTACATTTATTGAGTGAAATCTATGTAGAGGATTAGCAGTTTAACTTCTGTTAAAAAGACCTCCTACTTCGAGCAAGTAGTAGAGAATTATGACAAGGTGCGGATTACCTGCAATTTTATATGTGTGCGAAAACTGTTTAGCATCCTGATTCGTTGCAAGGCCTTTTATTGCCGATTTGTAAAATATACGCGAAGGAACATTTTCGAATTGGAGAACCGCTTGTCAGCGGAGATTAAACTCATTGTGGAAAACGAAGAAGTTCTTTCGGATCGCTAACAATAGCTGGTTAAAAGCAAGTTCCTCGAAGTTGAGTAACGTCATTGGACACAATGTGCGATAGTAGTTATTTTCCTAACAAGTGCGTGAAGTTGGTGTTTTCTTAACGAAAGTAGGATGTTACCAACACGAGCGTAGGTACCTGCTTGAGGTTCGCAATTACCTTCGCACGCATGTTAGGAACAACGTTTTTCCTACAATCGTTTAAGAATTAATCAAATTACGTGCGCAAATTGATCAATTCCGGCACTAGTGCGAGAATGTCAATAGAGTGTAGGAAGATAAAATTTTGTATACAACGGCATACAGCAAGAAATTAATCGGTACATGTTGCGCACAACAAAAACTAGTTAATAAATTGGGCAAAATTAATATCAACACAGCGGAATATTGACTTATTGTTCCTGTGCATAATCACGCGAAATTGAAGCCGGCTTGCTTGGATTCATATGGACTTTTCTTCCGCTAAACATCTTCTGCAGAGGCACCTCTAAAAAGTATTATGCTGGTCACTCTGTAATTGAGCACAAGCCTGTTGAGGGCCCAGAACAAGAGAGGGATAATAAAAGATAACGGTACCAGGGTGAAAAGAATATTATCCCCGTCAATAAAGTAGCGGTTGGTTATTTTTAGGAATTTGAGTAAGCAATGTTGTTAGAAGTAATTTGGATATTCCTAGAGGAATCGACCTGTGAACATTATTCGCACGACAGATTGTTTTATTGATAAGAATCAAATTCAAACAAAGGATTTTGATTATTTTGTTTAATTGATGGGAAAATTGCAATTAATTTCAGTGATATAATTCCTCACATTTTGTGTAGCATTCCGAAGGGTGTGTATTTTGAGCAGGAGAATGCACCAGTTATTTAAAAATGGAACTTAATCGCCTTTGTAATAAAGTTCACATGCGTATTTATTCAAGTTTAATCAAACCAGGGCAATAGATTTTGAATTTCAGATTTTACGAGGAGATAAGAGGCCAAACTTTGTGCCATAATTCCTCACTTTCCTGTAGAATGAAACAGTTTATAAGTTTAAGGTTCTGCACTTGTGTAATACACAGTTTGAGGAAGGGAAGACATTGACACAAAGATGCACATTCTTCTAAATGGAGTTTACGGAGCGGGAAACGTAGGCACTTTAAACTTTGGAAAAAATTCAGAGTTTCAGGATGCAGAGTTTCCTTCCTGATTCATACGTTCTTTCATAGTGGATTTTCTTTCGACTTTTTTCCGTCAGCATTTTCTTCGCACTTTACATTTTACACTTTTCACCTCTACCTTTTGTTACTCATTCAGGAGCTGTACGTGTTTCCTTTACACCTTCTTCGGGCCTCCTTTCTTAAGAATCCCTTCTCCGTGTCTCTTTTACACATTTTTTACCTTCTCACCTTCACAATCTACCCTCGTCAGGATCACAATTCGATCACCTCTTCTTCAATTACCTTTCCTTCATCCTCAATTTGTTTTTCATACCTGTTTTAGGCATCTATACTCTTTTGATGTCCTTAACACCTCTACGACCCTTGAATCCAATGTAACACAAAACTTTGTACGTCTCTTTTGTTGAAACGTCCTTTTTACATCTCTCTTCGTCCTCGCTATTGTCTCCTCACGTTCCTTTCGGTAACCCCTCCTCGGATTTTCAAGCCTCGCCCATCTCACCTTTATTTCCTGCTTGGTTCGTCTCCACGCACCAAACGCTCTCAAGACAACTTTCAATCAAAGGAAGAAAGACCTCGGACACTTTATTAAAATTCATTTCACAGTACCAATTATTAACAATGTTCAAATGGTAAAAAATAAGTTTCCTTCTCCTGTTCCTTTTCACGAAGCTGAACGGCCACTGCTGTTTCAACCAAAAAATGCAAACATTTGTACTTTTCCTTGTCCTGTTCTGGCGGAGGAGTGACTGCACGCGTTTGAGACAGTAACGGATCAACTCCAACTACTGGGGAGTTGTCCGCTTGCCGTAAGTATTCTTGAGGGGGAGCAGTTGACATATTTAGGAACTGATGAGTATTCCAATGGACATTTATCGGTGCTACTTGTTCGGTACTAAAAATCAAACGATTTTAATTAAATGCGCTCTTTGGTAAACAAATCCTTCGTGTCTAATAGTGATTCATAATTACGATTAGCGAATAAAAATTGCCCCACCCCCCAGAACAATGGAAATCAATCAAAGAAATGCGCGAGAAAGCATTCCGTTAAGTTTATTGAACTCGATTGGTTTCATTGTACTTACTACTGGTATAATGACTTGCAAATCTTCTGCACGACGCGACATGTCGTTAATTAAGAGACCAATCAAGTTGGCAAAATGAAAACGTCAAAATTTGTAGGTTAACTTACATGCAGACTGGCGAATATTCTTCATTGGGCACTAATCCGCGACGAATGATGGTTTGCCATTCAGGAAGTACTTCTTCTTCATTGCCACTGGAGCTTCCGTTCATTTGTAAACTGTCATCTTCAGATCGACACACGAACGTCACGTTGGTATCAAACTGCGGATTTAACTTGATCCGTTTGTCGTCGCTCCAGCTTGCGCGAGACGTGCCGCTACTGCTTCCGGACGAGTTGAGCTTTTTACCCCTACGAGAGATGGTGTAGTGCAGTGGATCGTGACCTTCTCTTCGAATCATTTCCGGTAAGATCCTTCTTCGCGCGTTAATAAACCAATTGCACACTTGTAGTACCGATAAACTCGCCTCCTGTGAAAGGGTCAGCTTCTCCGCATCGCTGGGATACGCGTTGTACCGATGCTCGTACAGCCAACGTTTCAGTATCTTCACGGAGTGTTTGGGAAGATTTCCGCGTCGTTTTCTTACGGTACCGATTCCCGTGGACTGCACATTCGATACCTTCACCCTACGCACGGGATCGTTATAATCGGATCCCGAATCGCTTTCTTCCTCACTACTCGTCGATTGATAGTGGTCATCTAAAACACAACGATGGAATTAATGCCCCATTAATTACTAAACCTTTGCTTCCAAAAAAATTCATTTTATTTAAACCAACTATTAACCACAGCCGAATTTATTTCGATTAGTTTTTTTTTGTTTGGAATATCTACGGTAACGCGATAAGTGAAGTACTGAGTTGATGAAACCTCGTTGCTACCTGAAGTTTTGTTTGACCTGTAGGATGTTGAATCCATGCTATCCCTAGTTGCCCAGATACTTTGCACCATTCTTTCCCAGCATCTTCCTATTTTAGTATGATGCGCAGGTACACTCCAAGTGCCTATACCATAATTACAGGGTCGAATCCTGGGTTAGGTTGGATCCTCAAGAAATCTTGCTCTTAAAAAATCGCCCAGATCACACCTGACAGTGAGAACGACCGAGAATATTGAGATGGAGAGGACTGTGACCACCAGTTTCACGCGTCCTCTCAAATTTTGACATGAAAATTGTTCTTCCTGGTGAAACAAACTGGACTAATCAGGATTCAATATAAATTAGTTAACTCTAGACTCCACATGCTTTCGACTCAATCACAAGCAACAGTTTGTTCCACCACATCTCTTTGGTTGGAAATTGTTATATGAATTTTGATTTTAGTGTGGAGTATTTCTTTTACAATGGATCATATCCGTGCAGGGGCACTTATACGGAGTGAACACCTCAACCCTAACAAAGAGCAACAGACAACCATTTAGGAGGGTGGAACCGAAGGCACTAAGGATAGTAATGGAAAACAACAACCTCATAAGAAAGGAGATAAGGGAATTACTAGAAGGAAAGACGATCATCAGGAGGCTGAAGATGACGCAGCTGAGATATTGGGAACATATAAACAGGAGGAACAGAGACCATATCCTGCAGGTGGCCAAGAATCTACATGCCTCGGAATAGAAAGTAGGCCGGCCCTGCTTCACATGGAACACCACTAGACCAAACGGTCGCGACCTCGGAGATTCCCATGGGAGAGATGAGAAGAGTGGAGCAGAGACAAACACAAAAAGGGAGCAGATGCCCAAGCAGTCAAAAGGAGATAAGGGAAGAAGGAAAGACGATCATCAGGAGCTGAAAGAGACCAAATATTGGGAACATATAAACAGGAGGAACAGAGACCATATCCTGCAGGTGGCCAAGAATCTACATGCCTCGGAATAGAAAGTAGGCCGGCCCTGCTTCACATGGAACACCACTAGACCAAACGGTCGCGACCTCTCCCAAAAGAGGTGGAAAAGAGAGGAAGTGAGAAGAAAGAATGAAACGAGATCAGGCATCGGACACAAGCTACAAAAGCAGAGGTACAGCAGAGCTGACAATCGCATGTCGCGGCCCAGAGCAATGGGAGGTGGAGATGCATGTTAGGGACAATTGACTAAATTTTGGGAGAGGCGGCCAAATGTTTTTGGCGACCCAACGCCAACGCAACAATGACATCCATAATGAAGAAGGGGTGTCATTAAGTTTTAGAAGATTTTTAAAATATGGGACAGAGAGTTCTAAGAAGATTTTATAAAGACTCTGAGAAAATCTAAGGCTTTTAATACTTTTTTTATGAAGTTTTCCATTTTTTTTTTACTAAAAAGATTCTAGGAAGGCTCTGAGAGTACTATAAAATTCCGAGATTTCGAGAAGACTCAAAAGATTATACAAATTACTATTGTAAGTATTGTAATGGATCTAAAGGTTTTAAGAGTTTCAAGATTGTAAGAATTTTTGTAGAAACTGAAATAAGGTTCCGAGAAAATGCTTAATTTTTCCTGTAAAAAACTGCAAAAATGCCAAAGAAAGTAGTAATGAAATTACGAAGATGCTGATTTATTTTTCTTCAACGACAATCAATATCACTTCAACAAATTTAAATTAAATTTCCCTCACAATACAAAAAACATTCCCATATATTAAAACTATTGCTTGAAAACTGAAGGATTTAATTCGATCTTAAAATTTAACTTGAATGGCGCAAAAATAAATAGACATAACGACAAGGTATGCACAAGGATAAATAGAGCTCTGTCCAAACAAACAATAACGAAAGTCTACACACTCAAGGTAGTAATGTTTGACTTGACGGGAAAACTTACATATGTAATCCCTCAATGGAAACATGTCCTGAATGCAAATTAATGCTCTGAAGGAGACTAAAATGTCTAATAGTAATTGACAAAACCAATTAATGAATTACGAACAAATATGGACCTGTAAATTGTTACACAAATTAACATTGAAATGTTCCTTAAAGAGGAATTATCCCAAATAATTACTAAAATTTTCACAGACTCGACCCAGGGCCCTAATTCCTTATCGTCTGTTTGGTGATTCCTGGGGGAAGTTGATCTTGCCCTTGTGTGCACATTCCACAAGATACCTCTGCCTAGTGCCAAGTGGATTGATAAGGAACCGGTATCAATCTTAATTTAAAGCGCGGTTGTAAAGTGATTACTCAAAAAGCCATGCTATGACAGACACGATTAACTCAATTAATCGGTTCAAAGTTCGCGTACAGCGGTTCTAAAACAACAAATTATTGAGGAAATGGCGGCCAACTTGTGTATCAATAAATCCTATTTATATCCTCCAAATTTAGAGAAAAAGTGCGTAACTCGATTCTTCGATACTTCGAGAATACACCACAACTGGTTCGGTTGCCAGAAACCAACAACAATATTAATAGAGCAGCCGTCAATATACTCGTACGGTAACAGAAATAAAATAAAAAGCATATATGTAGGCTTCAAGAGGTTACATATTCAGTCATTAGATGTCAAGGGTCAACTAAAAGAATCGATTAGCAATATTATTTATTTAAATACGAGCAACTCAATGAAAGATCTCAATACATTACGGTGGCAAAAGCAAATTCAAAATTTTGGTACTTACAAAACTTGACAGTAAAAAATGCGAAAGGTGGCCATTACAAACTGCAAAAGATCATAAACTTACTTATGGCAAAAATAAAAGGCAAAAGATGCCCACAAAATCCAGTGTTTACCTTATAAAGAAACCCGATTTTTGGGGAAGTGGAATAGGGAATTTCCAGTTCCTCGCTGTATTCAGTACTAAAGCGGTGCAAATTAATTCGGTTTTTAATTAATTACTTGGCCTGTAGTTATCGGAAAAATATAAGATGGACATCGGACTCTCCGTTTTTTCATTGCGCGCTCATTTTGATACTATGTTTTGATATAAAGTCTAGTTTTTTTATATAACCCTGGACGCCATCTGTTGGTTTTTTCTACAACTCATTAAAACGTCACCACTGCTTACCCATTTTTCAATACTCATTAATCCAATCAACATCTAGTCTTAATTGGAATTTTCCGGCGCAACAACTGTTGTCGTTACCTACACCCCGGCATGTCTGCAAGACTGATAACGTATAAACAACTCGATGTGGAACACGTTTCTATCTTGTTTAATAAATAATTAACGGCGCTGAAATGATTCCCTTCTTCCCTGGCAAGAGAGCGTTCGGCGGCTGTAAGAATAATTTTTATCGGAACGGTCGGAAAAACTGATTAAAAACTTCATTAAAACTTACGGGTGATAGTGGCGGTAAAATAAACATTTATTGCTTTTGTCTTCTGCCCAAGTTTGCAGTACGGCAACCATTCTGGGCAGTTTATGCCCTTCATCAATCTTATAGAAAACATTGAAAAGTTATACTTAGAAGAGAATATAGGAGAGGAACACTTTGGCACGATAAACGCAAAAAGAGTGGTGAGAACAATCGGCGAATGATATTTGGAAAAAGGGAACACTTTCTTTGTAGCTTTTGTTGATATTCTAAATGAATTCGATTGGATAAACTGGGAGAAACTGTTGGAAATACTAAAGATGAAAGATGTCAACTAAAGAAGAAAAAGACTACATCAAACTAATATATGAAACAAAAAGCAAAAATCAGGGTGACCTATAAAAAGACTGATTGGTTTGATATCGGAAGAGGAGTTAGACAAGGATGCTGTGTGGACGTGGAGAAGAATGATGATTGATGAACACAATGGAATGACAAGATAAAAGTAACCTAGAAGTATTAAATAGAATTGGAGCGGAAAGATGTACGTTAAAGATCATAAAGCGAAGAAAAATGAACTGGATTGGACATGAACTAAGAAAGAACTGTTTGTTGAAGGAAGTAATCGAGGGAACTGTTCAGGGAATAAGAAAAACGGAAAGATGAAGAAGGAAATTGGTTGACGATCTGCAGGAGGGAGGAGTAAAGAGAAGAGCCAAGGATAGAGAGTTGTGGAGAAGAGCCATCAGAGACCTGCATTACCAGAAAACCAATGATGATCTTGAATTAACAATAATCTCAATTTATTTGTTTTAAATACGCTTTACACTGATAGTAATTTCCATTTTGTATTTAAAATAAGCATAAAAAATAGTGTAGTAATTTGTTAATTATAGTGAAATTAGTAAACGTAAAATTACTCGAGCGTACTCGCCGGCATAAAGTTCGATTCATGGAGGACCAGATAGGATCAATTCGCTAATTGTTTAATTCACTGTTTACAGCCTTGCTAAATCTCTACTATTGTTACGATGATTGCAAAAGTCGCCTATACGAATTACAATCATTAATTTATAACTTTCTCTTAACTATCGGACGGTGAGCATAATTCGAAACTATTCCCACCATAAATTTATTCAAGGTATAATTTAATTTTGTTGCTACTCTTTATTATAATACTAATCATTAAATTAACATTTTGAGAGTGCGCGTAGTAAGACAATAGTAGTTTAAGATCGACTTCCGTAGAATTTATCTCTTAATTACTATACAACTTGTCTTGTAGAGCATGTCAAGTTCTCTTAATTCCCAAACAAGTTAAAAAAGTGTCTGATATTCCGTCACTAGTAGACTTTAGCGCATTTTTGATGTGACAGATCAGTAGCTTTCAGACTAAGTGACATCAACAGCTTTTACATCATTGTTTTGATTACCTTCGCGGTGATTTTTATGTAATTCGGATCGTAACCTTCTGATGGCAAACCGAGCTTTCAACTTCATACACGCACTATGATGTTCTCGAGGATATTCTATTTCCTTATTTTAACACATTTAAAGGAATAGCTTTTAGCTTTCAGACTAAGCGATGCATGAATAGCAT